TAGGACAAAATCGAAACATTTGAAATATGGACTAAACTGCAATAAGCTAGAGGGAAAAGAGGGGCAAAACTGCAAATTTCCACCCTATTTAAATAATTAAGGAAAAGCCAAAGTGTTGAGCTTGACTTGCCTGTTCTAGGATCCCGGCCGGCGAAAACAATCGGCTCCATCCCACCATCAAGCTCCGGCAGAGCAACTTGCAGAGCCACCTGAATAGGGTGCAGACCCAAAGTACTATTCAGCCACTCCTCTGTTGTTTGAAACACCAAAGGCAACGCAACAATGTACGGCACATCAAGCTTCCTCAAAGCCTCAACAGCCCTTGGATGATCCTGCCTGGCTGGACCGCCAACAAGAGCAAACCCAGTGAGTGAAACAACCGAGTTCACAAATGGTTTCTTGCTCACCGGATCGATCAGAAACCTCTCCACCGGACCGGAAAAGTCTAACCCTCCGGCGAAAATCGGAATCACCTTAGCCCCTCTTGCTTCCAGCTCCATTATCACAGCTACATAATGACTCTCATCGCCGGTAACAATATGACTTCTTTGCAAAACCAAGCCGATTATCGGCGCATCAGGGGATTTAAGTTTCTCGTTAGCGTCTCTCCTGGTTTCGTACCAGTTCAAGTATTCCTTTACATCGTCGTACATACAAGGAGCTAATGGGTGCCAAATCCCACTGTCTAAGAACAAAACTGGGTCCGCGTACTTGATTTTCTGACCTTTGAGAGCCGGCACGTAAGACCCAGATATCATTTTCAAGAAATTCTGCAAATTATCCGGCGACCCACCAAGCCAAAACTGTAAACTCAAGATATAGAGGCGAGCATCTTGCGCCTTGTCACTCGGCAAGTATTTCAAAACTTTCGGCAATGTCCGGACCAGCTTCAACATACTATCGGCGAACCCTGCGCCTTGCTTCTTCCTCTTGAAAAGCTGGAAGAAGGGACTCTTGGACTGGCCTAGCTGTGACATGCTAAAAGAACCCAGCTTGTTAAGCCTCATTACTTCAGGCATTGATGGGAACACCAGGACGGCGTCAAGTCTGTCCCGCTCTTTCTCCACCGCAGACTTAACTTTCAGAGCGAGCTCCTCGACGAAAATCAATGACCCGATGAAGATATTCGCGTCTTCGAGATCTTTGCAAAAAGTTTTATAGGTTGACTCGTCGCGGAGCTCCTCAACCAGGTACCCGACAACCTCGAACGAAGCGAATTGGGATGTCTTGTTCAGAGATTGGACAGCGGCTGTGAGTGAAGATTGGTACTGAGCTTCTAACACGACGTAGACGATTTTAACTGTGGGGAGATTTCTTTCGTTCTCGGGTACAATTCGGCGAACTTCAGGGGTCGTCTGCGTGAAAAGACCGTTGCCAACTGTTGCACATTTGACTCTCATGGCGGATTTGGAATTTGCTTGGTTGGGCTTTTTGGGAAGGAATGAGTGTAGAAAGTATTGCTTTTGGGAGAGAGAAGAGAGCTGGTCGACCTTTGAACATGGTAAAGTAAACGGAGAAGACACAAAAGACGCCATTAATGGAGTTCACCCCTACCAGACAACCAGTATAGCACCCTGTTTCTTCAAAACAGAGAAAAGACAAAATTTGGGTAAAGAGAGGACAGAAAAAAAAAAAAAAAAACCAAACTTTCTCCCTCTTCCTCTCTTTATTGCTTCTGTTTCCTTCCTTTCGATTTTATTTCACTAAAATGTTTTTCTTTCTTTCTCCTTCTTCTTCTTCTTTATGATTCGGAAAAGAGTTTATATTTTTGTGTGGAGAGACGCGCATGGAGAATTAAAACAGTTGGTTTTTATGGTTAACGGTGGGAGGAAGGACACGCGGCGTAATGGGTATGCAAGGTTTTAATTTATGATTGGGTCTATTTTTTGAGGCTGAGTTTTGTTCTTGAGCCACTAGAGAGACACAGTGACTGTGTGTGTGTGTGTGGGTGTGACTTAATACTCATCTATCTACAGAGAACTTTATGATGGAGTTTCCTGAATTCTGATTGGCCGAGGTGGATTTCTCTACAAGTGAAATTTAGAGACTCTTGGATGACGAGAGGGCGAGAGATATTGCCAAGATTTTTTCAAAGCTTGTAAAAGATTCTTTCCTATTCCAACAAAGGAAAAAATAAAAAAAAGATTGTTTCCTATTTGAGTTTGTGTTTTTCTCAATGAAAAGGAAACGATATTTTCTCTCTTTATGCGACAGCTACAAATTTTGAAATTTTTTTTAAAAAAATTTAGTTCGAGTTTTTAAATTTTGTGATTATATTCTCTACAAAAATATAATAAATTCTTTGAATTTTTATATAACTTTATCGATGCAACACTACTAAAATATCAGTAAATTAAGTCAATTAGTTTTACTGATCAGATATCACGGATAAGTTATTACTATATCGTAATACATTCACTAAATAATAAATTTTATATTTTTCGATAAATTTTGAAGTCGTAACAATAAATAGAATATAAGAGTTGTAATCATTATAGCACATATATCAATTAATTATTGAACATATTTATTTATATTTTTACGTACTGAATTTATTGTGATACGAGAATTTCTTCTATTTAATTATTTAAATAAATATTTTTAAAATTTTAAAAGAATTATTCAGATTAAAATTATTTAAAATTTATACATATATAATTATTGAATCTTATAATGAACTAGATTTAAATTTATCCCTTTGTATTGCGAGTTTTGGTGTCGGTATCAAATATATAGTTTTTGTTGGTACGAGTAAAACCGAGAAATAAACGTTTTGAGACACTAGTTAATAAATTGGCATAACTATTGGATATGAGAACTCGTTTAGTAGCTCGACTTAATTTTATTTTTCTGAGTTATTTAAATTTTTTTTAAAAAGTATTAAAAGAGAAATAATAATTTAATGAGCTGTTGGGAATTAAAAAGGATTTTTTTCGGTTTGTGGATTTGGGCTTCAATGAAGTTCCAAGCCCGAAAGGCAAAACCAGTTTCTCTTTCAGAGTGCTTTTTTTTTTTTTTTTTGGTTGGGAAAGCAGCTTCTTCTTCGTTTAAAAGCTAAAAACCCTACGCAGAAATACGAATCGATCCGCCATTAAAAGTTTGAAACTCAGAGAATAAACGAAGAGTTTGGATTCTGTTTGAACAAGAAGAACCGTAGTTAAATCAGCTGAACGTTGGAGAGAAATCATGGCCTGCAACTCTTCAGCCTGCCAGTCTAGTTGCTACAAGCTCGGGCAGGTTGAAGAAGAAGAAGAAGACTTGACGAAAGCAACACCAACAACAGGTGGTGGTAAAGAAGCTTTAACAGAGATTAATAATGAAAGTAAACAGGAGATTCTATGCATAAAGTGCAAGACTCATGAGCCTATGTCTGTTGGGGCTAGTGGGGATGAAGGTAGGTTTTGTGGTGCTTGTTTTAGGAGTAATCTAAATGGAAAGTTCAGACTCTCTGTCTCTTCTCACGCCATGATCACGCCTTCTGATAATGTCCTCGTCGCTTTTTCTGGCGGTTATTCTTCCAGGTACTCTTCTTTTCCCTCCCTTTACCCTCTAAATACAGTGTAACTATATATAGGAAGGATTTAATTAAAATTTTGACGATTTGATTTATAGATTAGGTTTGGAACACATACATTATGGAATCGTTTCATTTGTAAATGAATCGAATATTGATTTCACTCTAAATAATTGTTTTTTATTCGAAGGAATTCATGAATTTAAAAGTTGAATTCATTTGAGTACTTACGAATTATCATTTCAAGCTTTGGAAAAACTCTATCTCATAATGTTAGTTTAAATTGCGTTAATTTTTTTTTTAAATAAATTAAATTGGGTTAAGTTTGATAGGATTTTGAATACTCTTCTTTTATTTTGATGTAATTTTAGTTTCAAAATAAATTCCATAGTCTTGAATAATATAGAAGCACTGATTTCACATTAAAGAACTCATTTGTTTGAAATTTATTGTTAAAAAAACAATCAGGATTTTGCATGATCATGACTCTGGGTGTTTGGTTTTAGTTTGTCTGTTGATAGAATTGCTGTTCATAATTGTCCTGGTCGTTAAATAATATAGCAGTTCGTATTTTGGTTTTTTATTTCAGTTGCAGCCTGCTGCTTGTTCACAGTTTATTTTATTTATGTATTTAGTTTAAGGAACTCTGCCAGTTTAAATTTAGTTCAATACTAAAAGTGGCTTTTGAGAAAGCACAAAGGAAGGATCTTTATTGCTTAGATTTTTTTGTGGCCTTCAGTTTTGATCTAAGAAATACTCTGGTAATAGGTACATGTGAAATGAACGATTGCCGGTTGTGGTGAGCTTATCCATATTGTGCATCTGAAATTCACTTAAGCTTCAAATGAACTGTCTATAGGTACAGGGACAGGAAATTTGTTAGATGGGTTTCCTTCCCTCATGTGAAAAGAGGGAGAAAAAAGGTGAAATTATTCAAAAACCAACTATCATAGACAAAAAGATAGAAACTCATGACTTTGAACAGCAACACATATGTGCTGGTAAAGTGGGATATTGATGATGAGTGAAGAGGGACATTCTGATGATTTAGAACAGTAATAAAAAATGATAGCAGAAAAGGGTCTCTTGATATTGGTTGATAATCTTGATTTTCTTTTTTTTTTCTTTACAACTTTTAAGTCCATGCTTTAAAATCAGATTTGTTTTTCTATCAGGGTTGCTTTACAATTTGTGCACGAGATGCAATACAGAGCACAAAAGAATTACGATGCATGCAAAGACAGATCATTACCTGTATTTGGTGTTGGAGTTGCATTTATTGATGAACATGTGGGTTATCCAAAAATTTCTAATCAAATAGAAAAGGCAATCGAGGAAATTAAGCTGATTGTCTCAAATTTAGCCCCACCAACGAAAGAGTTGTATATTGTTCCAATTGAAAGAATCTGTTGCTCAGATTCTATGGAGGGAAGGGACAGATTAAAGGAGTTACTAGATGCTGTTGTTGATACTACTGGTAAAGAGGATCTTCTGCTGCATCTAAGAATGTTGTCCTTGCAGAAGGTTGGTTCTAGATTTGATGATTTTTATTTGCTGGCATGTGTGAAGAAAAAACAAAATTGTTCATTTGTGCTGTTTATTTTTGGCAGGTTGCCTTAGAAAATGGATACAGCAGACTGGTGCTAGGATCATGCACATCAAGAATTGCTTGTCATGTCCTTGCATCCACTGTGAAGGTGTGTCTTGAGTTAGCATTCAGTTGAAACACTATGTCTTTGAACTTGTAAAACTTGCAAGTATTAGTTATATCTGTTAACAGATTAGATGACCTTTATGCTTTGCCTTCACTCATGAGGTAAAGAAATGTATGGATATAAGCTACCTTGTAGGTTCACTTGTGTTGATTCTAGAAGGAGAATATATAAAAAAGAAATCACATTTGCATTATGTGTAAATGCCTCTTAGGTTGCCCTTTTACTTGAATTTGAGGTTTCGAGGCTCCATTGACCTGGTATTGCCATGAATAAGGAACAGTAGTTGATATATACTTTGGAACATGCACTAAACTTAATAATTTCGAATTGTACATTCACATTTTCCTTTCACCTAGTTTTATCAAGTTCAAGCTGGAAGCTCTTGCAATTGGAGTAAATTTAACATTTATTTAGAAACAAGAAGCGAAGGTATCACTCTAGAATGTATTAACAGCACAATTTTGTTTCATATATCAAGGTTGCTATCTTTTAGTGAAAAAAGTTTACATGTAGTTTGGTATTTCTCCTCCTTGACAACAACTTTCTTCTCCTCACTCTACTTAATTGTCTACCCTGGGCGTGGAGATGGGCCATTTAGGAAGTAGGTAGTGGAATCGTGGTTGAGAACTTGTGTTTGGATGAGGACAGTTGGTGGGACAATAAATAGGGATAACTACATTTGCTAGTGTTAACTTTAAAATTAGATTGGTTGATAAACTGTATTATTATTGTGAATGAATTATTTGGGGTGAGCTTTCAAGGACTTAAAAGTCATGCTACAAATTTGTTCCAACAAATTTGGTGTCTCAGTACCAGAGGGTCTTTCTTGGTTAGTTCTTTTTATAAATATTTGATCAAGAATAATACCACAGAGATCAGTTTTCCTTTTCGGCAAATCTGAAAGATTAACACTCCATCCAAAGTTGCTTTCTTTGCGTTGGGAGCAAATCGTGAATGTATCCTTACTATTGACAAATTGATGAGTAGGGAAAAAATTTTGGTGAATGGTTGTATTCTATGCAAGAGGGAGGCAGAGTCTTGTAATCACATCCTTCTCTGTTGTCTGTTTGCATATAAGTTATGGATCATGGCTTAACGAGTTATTGGGGATCAGTTGGGCGATGACTAGTTCTGTAAAGGAAGAGCTTTGGGCGTTAAGGGGTATTAGTGGAGGGAAGAGAAGTGTGAGTCTCATTCCTTTGCTATCTTTTGGGTGGTGTGGAAAGAGAAGAATATGAGAGTTTTTAAGGGGTGCAAGATGAATTTGATAGGGTTAAATGGTTCTACACCCAGAGTTTGTTGGTTATGGCTCATCCTCTTTATACAATGGAGGATAATGAAGATCTCATTGATATTCTAATTGAAATGTAAAATTTTTTTATACAAGAGTTACCCGCCCCTTAGTGCTTGTGAAATATTATATCATACCATGCTTTTTATTTCAAAAAAAGAAAATGGAGATTCATCATGGAGAACTGGGCCTTGTGGAGGAGGTTTATTGTTGCATGACATGGGCTGGACGTCAAACTTAGAAGATCAAGAGCCATAGAAGCAGACGCGGATGAGGAATCTTGTTACCATTTATTGCTGGGCTGTCCAGAAATTAACAGCATTTGGGCGATGGTTTTTTGGGCTGCTGGGTTTGTTTTGGGTTAAAGCTGGTAATGTAAGTGGGGAACTTTGGGCGTGGGCGGGATATTGTAAAAAGAATATACATCGTTTCTTTATCCTACTTACCATTTTTTGGGTTGTGTGGAAGGAAAGAAATGCGAGGACGTTTGAGGGCATTGAAACTAATATTGTAAACATTAGGGATAGATGGTTTCATATTTTTGTGTCTATCTTATTAGGTCATGATGTGCAAGATTAGGAAGACATTGGATTAGTTTGGACCACTTGGTAGATATGTAGCTATTTTGTATACGAGTGGTACCCCCTTGATACCTTTGTGAATAACATTTCTCACTTCTATTTAAAAAAAAAATAGATGCGGACGCGGATGTAACCCTTGGAGATGGTTCAACCAAGATTGAATAACTTTTTCTAAATAACATTACATTCTTTTGGGGAAATGGGTCAGACTTTGGTTTGACCATTGGATTGATGAGAAACCCTTTAGTGATGTCTCCCAAATACCTTCAACCTATCCAGGTTCAAGGAGGCAAAGGTTATGAATTGTTTTGAGGTGTCTAGTTGTGGAATTGCGTGGAATGCTCTTTCCTCTGAAACCTAAATGATTGGGAGATCAATGGTTGGATATCCGTTCTCAAGCTATGAAGAAACATTGTTGTGGAGCCTTTCAAGGAGGTTTTTCCTTTTTGGAAGATCATTAAGAATGGCAAGGTTTGCCACCATTGTCATTGGGACCAAATCATTGATTACTTTCCATGAAAGCAAATGTGAGGGACCAAAGCCTCAACCCACATTGTCTTTGTTGCTCGGGAAGCAGATTGGGGTAGATTGGGTTTGAAATCTAACTTTCAGACAAGTTGCTGAAAAGAGGAAGGCCTTTGGTTAGTAGATGTTTTCTGTGCAATGAGGAAGAATCCCCTAATTATCTTCTGTTTTGCTGTCCCTAGAGTAGAAGATTACGGGATTCTGCGCTCTTTTCAAACTCTATTGTACAATGAGTTCTTTCGGGTAAGAACGAGTTATGGTCATAGTGGTATTGCTCCGTAAGTCTAAGAAGAATATTATCTCTATAAATTCTCTTTCTATATTTTAGGTCATGTGGGAAGAGCATAACAAGAGAGCTTTTCGACAACTCCTCTTCCCCTTC